AAGAAAAAGCAGCGCAAGAAAGCCAAGCAGGGAAGAAGTGGAGTCGCCCATCTTTATTGTAATCTTCTTCATCGTTAAGTTTTAGTGCTAATTATTCTTATGTTACCTCTCTCTCTCTCTCCCTGTATATATATATAGTTTTATATTTATTTTATAATTATTTTAACATTATCATACATTATAATCTTTTTGGTGCAGAATTGACATTTCAATATCAAGTGCTTTAAAAAAAAAACCTGTATAACTTATAATTATAACTACTCGGAAGATGGATTGATGATGACTTGCTCCTGCCAAAATTTCACAGTGATGATAACTTTTGAGATCTTTTTCATTGAACAAGTCCTAAAAAAAGAAACTTTAATATTTGAATACTTGGTTTAAAAAGAAGAAGAAGAAAAAACTTACAGTTTGAAGTTCTCTTCACTCCTTTCTCTGTTGTTTATCTAGATATAACATCTTTTTTCCAATATGTAACATTGGCTGCGACTAATTCTTCCTTCAAGATGTTAATTTTTTTATTCCTTCAAAAAAGGTTTGTCTGAGTCAAATACAATTTTAAATCAGAAACCCAAAGCCTAACCCCAGTAGAAATGCGGATTAATATTAAATTTATTCATTTGAAAATTGTCTAATGTATATACTCACTGAAGTAGTGATTAAAAAAGTCTCAGCAAGCAAACAAAATATTTTGAATAAAATGACACTAGTGACTACCCCAGGCACAATGCTTATTGACTAAAAATTTAATCATATGAATTATTTAATGTGAAAACCAATTGACTTTAGACCTTTTAACTAGTTTGGATAATCAATAACCTAAATCAACCAAACTACTGAAGAATGATAGTATTGCAGTTTTTAGGAGATGAGTAATGCACGCCACTCACTTTCTTTTTGTTACTATGTAAATTTAAGAGAACATTGTATTTTTTAATTGACAGTTATACTTTATACTTTGCACAGTGTATGATAAAAAAAAGAAGTTAAGATACTCATAAACATAAATTTAACACAAAATTATAATTAATAAGATTAAAAGAAATGTAAATTTATAGTCATTTAAACAGTGGTCCCAATGAAAGAAACAGATGGCTCTGTCATTCATGGTATCTAGGAGATTTTGGAATCTAGCTCAACTAAATTGTATGTATATTTTGGTTGCGCTGTCATTGTGCTGGACTGTTCTGAATTATTGGCCATTTGGGCTTTTCCTTTTTGACACACTGTACCTTTGGGCCTCGCTTTTTCCTTGGCCGTTCTGCCAGTGCAAACCATAGAATCACGACAAAAAACATTGCTGGATGGAGGCATCATAAAAAACAAAATAGAAACTCAAACTAGTTCGACGGAACGACGGAATCGGATTCACGGGACCCAGAGGACGAGTCATAATTTTTGTTGAAGTAAAAATAGGTTGACTTAAATAGAGATAAATGGGAGTGAAAATGGGTAGAGTATCACTAAAGTATTATATTACTTATTTTCATATTTGTTTTTAAAAAAGTACTCGTGTTTAGCTCAGTACTTGTGAATAGTAATTTTAATTTTTATATTTATATTTTTTAAATATCTGCATACATATATTTATTCTTATTATTCGTACTTGTTTAACAAAAAAAAATACTTATAAAAAAATATGCTTATATAATTTTACATAAGTAGAATAATAATACAAAAATTAAATATGTAGCTTCTAAACAAAGTTTAAGTATAGATAAAAAATAAATATTTAAATATCACAAGTGTTAAATGTATTTTAATATATCAACTTTCTAGACTAAAGTACTTAAAAATTATAAGCAAAATTTTACACATAATCTTTAAAATCATCTAAAACAACCAACTCAGAAACTTGATAATTATGTATTGTCGCTCTTCAAGATATAAAAGAAATAATATTAGTTAATTATTTATTGTAAAGTCAAAATAATATATATAATTAAACTATTTTACCTCTTCATCAGAATTCAAATTATCTAAATGAGAGCAAACACTTACCTTTTAAGTTTACATATTGCTTTGGTCTAGCAATACTAAAAAAATTAGAACATACAAGTATATAACAAAAATTAATTTTTGTATCAACCATATAATAATTAAATTGTATTAGTCTAATTAAACGATATAAAATTATAAATAAAATCTTCTATTAAAAATATGAAAACAATTATTTTTATGGTTTAGTTTATTGATAAATATATTTTTATGTTAATCTAATAAAATAAATTTAATTAGATAGATTTTTATATCTTTAAATATGTATTCTTTTATTTGAATAACATAAATATTTATATTAAAATTTTTAACCTTTTATTTTACATAGAAAATTTTGAAAACTAAAAATTATAAATTAAAAGATAATATTACTAAAAAATTCAAAATAAAAAATTTATCCATTAAAAAAATAAAATAATTATAGTCTATAGACATGAAATTACATAAAATAAATAGTAAAATATTTATCTTGACTAAAATATTATAAAAGCATCTACAAAAACTTTCTAAAACTAAAAGCGAGTTAGGTTCTTGTTTTATTAAATTTTTACTTGTTCTATTGTAAATAAAAAATTATTCTAACAAGATTATATGAAATTAGAACAATAAAAATAATTGAAAATACTAATAATTATTATAATAGAGTTTTAGGCTTCCTTGTTAACGACTTATGTTCGGAGGGTGTACCCATCAAGAAGTAATACATGGTTCTTAAATTAAGTTCCCGAAATATCGTCCCACAAGGATTGATTTTCAATTACTAATAATTTCTTAATTCAATTGTTTAATCTTCAAAGATACGAGATTAATTAAAACCAAGAATTTATAAAATCAATTATAAAACTAAGAGTAAGGAATACAAAGTACGTCTTGGTTACACTTATCAGATAAAAACATAGGGCGTATGGGTGTTTTAGATCTAAACTCGAATTCCTTGTTATTACTAATCATTCATACGAATATTATTAATATTCATTGGTCATGCAATATTAATATTATTCTCTTTAAGTTAATATCCTTAATGGTCATGCAAGTTATCAATTTAGAGAAAGCCTAAAGAACCTATGAATTTGTTAATTCAATAACGATTAGAAGAGAAAAATTGGTTTGGTCTACCTAATCTTTCATCTCGATTTATCCTATAAATCTATTAATTAATCGAGGTACGATCGTCTGACGATGTAATTAATTAGGGTTAAGAGTGAGAAGCGATAGAATAAATTATAATATGGAACAGAATTCGAATTAAGATTCAAATATCAAAATCTCATAAAATCATAAACAATAATCCTTATGGCCCTAACTATGGATTTAGTTACTCATGTAGAAAGAAAGAGCTAAAACAATCAATAACATATTCATAATAAAAAGATATAACAAACTAGAAATGAGATGGATCTTCAGTCTTCAAGTATGGTCACTTGAAGCAAGTTTCTGCCAAGAGTATGCTGAGAATCCGTGCAAGAGAGGCAAAAAATATTTAAAAATTTGAAAGACTGAGGTTGTGTGTAAGCTGGTGTCTAAAAAGAGATCATTTCTACCCTTATTTATAGAATTTTAACTCCTTTTAAAATGGCTAAGATTGAAGTTCCGCAAATGAGCACGGGCGTTCACACAATGCAACACAGCCGTGCATTACGTCGAAGCACCCCCATGCTATGCTAGGCATGCTTATTTCTGTGAGGCTTTTAACCCCATCTATTTGGACCAAAATGCACAAAAACTCACTTTCGCCTCTTTTCTACCAAACTGCACAAATAATATATAAATTTGTGTAAAATCTCAATAAAGTAAGGGTTATATATAAATATATGGCTGTAAAATATAGCTAAATTATAAACTTATCAACTTACTTGGTATGAAAGTTGTCGAACTTGATCTATAAATCCTATGAGAAGTGATAAGTTAGGTATTTATTTGTAATTCACACTCATAAAATACAACTCATGATAGGGTAAGCAGTGAAGCAACTCATATAATTATATAATTATCAATGACTATAGAGAGAATCTAGCTAAATATATAAAGTATTAACTCTAATTTTTCCCTTTTAGGTTAAAGTTTCTCTCACATAAGTAACATAATATATATATATATATATATATATATATATATATATATATATGCGGGTATATGGCAGGTTGGGTACTTAAGTACTCATCCCCACACCTATCCCTATTAAAATTTGCAGGTATTTTTCTATACTCATACCTGTATCCATTTAGCAGGTAAACACTCTACCTGTTGAGGATAAATTTTACATATTAAGTACTTAGGTACTGTCCCTGCACCTATCTCTATTAAAATTTGTAGATATTTTTTCATACTCATACTTGTTTAGTGGATAAAGACTCTACTCATTGCAAGTAAAATTTTCAGGTATCCATCAAGTACTTTATTCATTACTATCTCTGGAAATAAAAGGACTTTTTTTCTATTACTTCAAATTACAATTTTCTCACCTTCAACAAAAGTAATATATTATTTTTCTCTTCAAAATATGTTTTTAATCCGTCATCAAAAGCTAAAATTATATAATATAAAAAAACTAAAATTATATAACTTTTTATACTTTATAAGAATTAAAAATTTACTTAACCCTTTTATTAAAAATATCCTCACAAAACTCCCACTTTTCATCGCATCGGCGGTTTCTTTTAGATCTTTGCGAGTTTTTGTCAGTTTGTGGAAGTCAATGGTTCAAGATAATTCCTATCCTAAACACGTAAAAAATTATTTTCCAACACATTTGGCGGTGTATCTTAATCTTCACATAACATTTGTTCAACGTAAATGTTTTAATCCACCGCACTCCCAAAATATTTATTCCAATAATAAAGACGACCTGTAATGTAGTTAAGCCGACCACGGGATTTATTTGTTGTCCTTTAAGCTCAAAATGGAACTTTAACATATCATCAGCATGGAGTAGAAAACAGCCCCATATTTAGAATTGTTTTTTCAATCCAAGTCCAAGGTTTGGGGCCTGGAAGGAGGGTCAATAAAAACATTTAATTCAAAAGACTGCAGAAAAAGGATCTCATTCAAAACCTAATAAAAACGTAAAATCTATAATCAATCCCATACTCTTAAAACAGATCTGAACCAATCACCTAAAAATGTATAGGGAGAGAAAAGGCTTATCCATTGCAGATTGCCTACTATGTTCAAGTAAAATGCAAACAAACACAAGATGCAGCCTTCATATTAGTGATGAAAGCGATTTGATTTGAGTTAATGCCGGAACAGATATATCAGCAACAAGGTCGCTCCCTATGACATATGATTATGTAAACTGAATACGCCTTCCTATGAAAAGTGGATGAAGAGTCCAAATAAACTTACAAATTAAACTTTCAACTGGTGTCCACCTTCTCACTTATGTTTGTATAAGATAAAAAAACAATTTATTTACATTGTTAAGTTACAAGAAAAGAATTATACACTAAATAAGCAATTTGTGTTTAAAAGTTAAAGCACTAATGATCTGAACCCACAATCTGCTCATGATTTGACAGTCTCATCATCATCTTCAATATCCCAACTAAGATCCTCCTCTTGGTCTGCGACACTCAACCTCTTCCGCAAATCAATCCTACTTGCGGACTCAACAGCATCCCCTCCTTTATTTTCATCATTGCTTTCAATATCTTCAATTTCATCCCAGCCAATCTCTTCTTCCCCGGGCATTGAAGGCTGGCTTGAAACAACTGAAATATCACTATCTTTGCACGATCCACCATTATCATTATCTGTCTTGACTTCTGATGCCTCTTTCTCTTCGTATTTGACATCCAACTTATCTCCACTGCCAGTTACATTCGCAGGAACATTTGATGCCACATTCTCAATACAATTCACCTCCCCAGACTCATCATCACCAACAGTTTTAGATTCAAGATCAACACCCTTCCCATCATTCTCTATCTCCAAATCCTTCTTCCCAACCTGAACACACTCAACACCGCCAACATCTGCAGCAACCTCAGCAGAATTTCCGTTTTTCAACTCAGAAACCCCACTGGTGCTAACTAAAGGCTCATACCCACCATTGTCATCATCCTCATCATCAAAATCCCAACTCAAATCCTCCTCTTCATCCCCGGAAATTGCTCGTTTCACGAGTTTAGCCCTTGCATCCTCAGCTTGCTTCAGCTTATGCAACTTATAAAAATACTTGCTCCAGAAACTCTCATGATCAGTTCTACTGGGAACAGCCTTCTCATAAATCTTCTCAATAACTCCATTCTCTTCAATCAAATTCCTAATCTCCTCCCCCTTCTTATCCAACTCAAACCCTAATTTCCACTCATTGAATTTCTCCAAATCCTCAGGTTCCTCCAAATAGGTATTAACATCACACTGAAGAGCACGCACCAACGCATCAAATCTACTGTACCGTTTCACGTCCAAACCCTGACCGCTGCCACTACTACTATTCAACAGTTTCTTACCAGCATTGTTGTTATCGTAATTGCTTGAATCAAAAGAATCGTAATCGGAATCAGAGGCTAAGAGAGATTCCCTACCGTGAGAGATAATCTCCGCTGTCGATTTCCAAACGGTGCTGCCGATGTCGTCGATGGCTTGGCCAACGGACTCGAGCGACACCTGAGCCACCGACGCGCCGGCGTCGAGCGAAGCCGGGAGGTCCTTGACGGCGCGTGAGGCGGCTTCGCGGATCACCGCCGTTTCTTTCCTCAAGCCGGAGCCGAATTCCTCGAGATCGCGACGGTAGTTCTCGAGAACGGACTCGGATTTGGAAGCGATGGTTTGGATCAGGCCTTCGAAGCTCCAAGCGGCGGTTGCGGTTGCGGTTGCGGTGGCGGTGGCGCTCTGAGGCGGATCGGGGTGGTCGGATCCGTGCGGTGGCGGGTCGGGTTCATCGGCAAAGACGGACTTGAAAAAGTTCATCTTGCGGCGTGGTTATGGGTTGTTTGGAGTGTTGTTTGAATCCAAAAAGGGTTTATGAAGTGTGAAATGGATGTGTATGGCAATGGCTTATGATTTTATGATATGAATAAAACGGAATCGGATTCATCTCACATCCTATCCATTTATTCAATTCAATTTCTCCTTTTAAAGCAATGCCACCTTCCATTTCAAACCACTCCTTTTATTTTAGGCGCTACGTCACTAAATCACTTCGTTAAAACTCCAAAGGATTTGTGTTCTGTTATACATGTTATTGGACTAACTGTTTATTTATTTTGATTTTTCTAAATTAATTTAAAATTTTTAGACGTAATTGAAATGTGAATTTAAATTAATGCCGGTATAAATTTTAGCTTAAAACATGCGTAACAATATGTAAAGTTGATTTTGTCCTTAAACCCAATAAAATTAAATTCATAAAAATAAAAAGTTAAAAAAATAATATTATCACTTAATTTAATACATTAATAATCTAAAATGTTATAACTTTTAATAAAAATTAAATTTTTATTAATTTTTTCTTCCGTGTCTTTAAGTACACCTTAAAAAAGTATTTAATAGTTGAAAAAAGTTTGTTGAATTGGTTGTCTTAACAAGTTATTATATTAAGAGTATATTTGTTTTGTCGTTGAAACTTTTATCTGCAGACTTTTTTATATAAAATTTTCATACGCATATATCAAGAAAAATGCTAATTCCTTTCAAAACCATCAGATACCAAACCTAATTTTGCCGAAGCCGTTTAGCCTGATTGTTTACAATTATTAACTCCGTTTCTAGACAACTAGAAAATTCTTGCTTTTTACAAAACTTGCTTCAATTTACGGGTAAACATAGTTTTCTTTGGTTTCCAAAGAGATTGATTGTCTTTGCGTCTTCTTGCTGGTAAGTTACAATATCCAACTTTGATGTACGGGGCAAAATATCCCTGAATCATAAATTCCATACAACTACAACCAGTAGCTTATTTTACACGCACAGGTCAACAGCATACATGACATCAACCTAAGACCACCCCAAGTTGTCTGCTTTGAGGAGATGATAATTGAATTACTTATTCTCTAATCAATCGTGCCTGTTTTGACTTTTGAATTTTGACATTAGAAACAGCAGAACAAACTTAGTTCATTATCACATGTCAAAACTCAACTGGTAATAAAAAATTAATATGCTTAGATACGTTTAAATAACTATTTATTTATATAGTTATTTAATAAACTCTTTAAATGATGACTTATCTCATATTACTAGAGTCATAACTTCTTTTTTTATAAACAGATGAACACATATCAGGTGGGTTATATTGGAGGAGTGTATAACTCAAAATGCTTTGATATACCTCACAAGGGTGCTCCATTATGTTGAGAGGACTGAAAATGATGAGAAAAATGTTCAGTCATCTACATTAATTTTAGCGGCATCTTCACCAAAATTACTATTTCAATATCAAAGCACTTCTTCGTTGATAATAATAACCCAGTTTGTATTACAAACACATTTTTGGTGTCTTGCCCACATAAAAACTTCTGGACCTTTCAACATATACGTTGCTTACAAACAGCAACATGAAATCCTTGCATCAAATTAGCTTTGGATGTACACGACACAAAAAACTTGTTACAAAATCACACACGGATGCTGTAGAAAAATATAACTTAGGTTGATAGTCTTTCAATTTCCTTTATGATAAACTCCTTTTCCTCCTCAAATTGCTCATCTTCTGAACCTGAAAAATGGCATAGGGGTATCAGTGACGTAAGAGAGAAAATTTTTATTCAATTATTCAGTAATAGAGAATGGAAATTCAGAACAACATTACGTAAGTGTAGGTTTCAAATCAATCAATTACTGAAAGTATAATAACCTTTTCCCGGAGATAGATTACGTAGCAATTCTAGCAGCTTCTCTTGATTCTTCGCCAAAATAATTTTTACTTCTCGAGGCTTATTAGGATTAGCAACAAAAACCTGGATAAACATGTGAGAAAAGATAATACAAATATAGAGGATCATCTCCACAGCAAAATGTTATGGTGGTGTAGAGTATATTTCTTTAGGAATAAAAACATAAAAACCCCTGAAATAAAAAGGATAGGATATTCAACAATTAATATTTTGAAGGAAATGCCTAAAGTAGTCTTCAGGAACTTTCTGCATGTACCAATAGAGATTTATTCTACCTTAAATGCTGAATAAGAGATTCCTTTTATGATTGCTATTATGGAGAAAATAGATTGTGCTCAAAATTAGTCTTCGAAAACCTGCTTTTATACTTGGCAATCTATCATATTTTTGCCCTTTCAACACTCTCCTAATAGTGATATGTTCTTCACTTTCTGAAGAAGTACTGCCCAAGAAGAACCTTGCTGACCTTGCCTTGCTATATAATACTTATCCATGGAATAGGAAGACAGAGAACAGAAATGATATCAATCCTCAAAGGACAAACATGCGGTTGTGTTGTTCAAATATGCATTTTCACAATAACTTGGTAAATTAATTATACAGATATGAAAGTCACCTTTGTCCACTAGATTAAATGCATTAAAAGAATTCACAGTGTAACCTGCCATTAACCAAAATTCCAACTCATTGCTGCAAACATGGAAAGTGCAAGAGTTCTCCAGTATTCTAAGGTTGCCAAACTTCACATAGAGGGCTGAATACTTCTATTTACAACATATTATCAAGCATGCTTTGTTTTAAATCCTTTTATACACCCAAAAGGATAAGTTTGTTATATAACTTAAAAGCATGAAGTGAAAAATTCACCTTGAAAATGTGGAAAGCTGATAACTGAATGTTTTTACTTGAATCCTGCTCAAACCCAAAATATAACAAATAAACACGTAGTTAGTATAAGATAGAAAGATAAGGTAAAACAAAAGCAGTGCTTTGTATGAAAACTTGAAAAATCATGCACAATATAGGACCAAATGTGTAGCACTCCACTGAAGATTGATAATAGTATTGGTTGTTTGGCATGCCAAGCAGGTAGAGTTCACTAACAACCATCACCAAGCCTTATCCTAATAGTGAAGTCAAATAAATTAGAATAGTTGACACCATTTGCATCAATCAAAAACCAAAATTGCAGATTTTCAGTAAAACTATTTACAACAAAGTCTGTTTTTCATAGTTTCTCCTGAAGTTCCCCCTCCCCTCCCCAGGGATCTTCATCTTCCTCTTTTAAATGGATTATATTCCACATAATCCACTTTTCTCACTGGATCCTTTATTGGTCTTCTCACATGAATTAAGCACCTTTGGTAAGTTTTCATCACCTTCTCCTAATAGAAGATATGATAAAACCAACAATCAAATAGGAATAAACACACAAATCCGCAATACTCACAATGAAAGTGAAATGAGAGATACAAGTATTAGAAATTGTTGAAGTCCCATATCAATTATAGATATGCCTAAAAAAGAGCTTATAAAGGTTAAAGTAATCCTCACATTAGAAGCTAGTTTTTGGAGTTGAATTAGGTTTAAAGCCCAAATCCAATGTAGTATCAAAATCTATTGTAAATCCAATATTGGGTCACCCTTGGCTTAAAAAAAATTTGCCCCATGAATTTTTCTAGTGCAATTAACTTGGCCTCGTGGATTTTCTAGTGCAACATACCTGGTCCTATGACTTTCCTAGTGGTCCCATAGCTTATCTAGTGCTATAATTAATAATAATAAAAAAAAACAAAGTCCTATAATTTTCTCGAGTGTGAGGTGTGTTGAAATCCAAGATCAACTATAAACATGGCTAAATAAGACTTATAAAGATTAAAGCAATCTTTACCTTACAAATTAGCATTCGGGGTTGAATTAAACTTAAAACACAAATTCAACAAAAATGATAAAGAGAATCAAAGATAAGAAACTCAAGGAACTAGAGTTTCCTTGCCCAAGCCAAAGGCTGTAAAACTACTAAACTTTTTCCCTACCTCCCTTTGCTTCTCTTCTCTCTCCTTGTTACTGAATTCCCTCTTCTAAACCATCATGGGCCTCCAACACTGTGCCCACTCATCATAACTAACTTCCTTCTAGATCCTTTGCCACATGTCCCTCCTTTTCCCCTCTTAGAATATACTTTTTAACACCTTAGTCTCATGGTTTACCTACTGAACTGATGACACTCCTGCATCCCTTGGGATATTAGGTACAGGGGTCTATAAAAGGTACTTAAACTTTCTTCTGGAAACATTCCTATCTCCATTACACCTATTTATTGCTTTTCGTTACACTCCATTGCCAAACATTCATTACCAGAGAGCATTCATAAGCACTGATATTTGTGATCTCAAGTGGCTGTGATGTATATCTCAATTTTCACACCAATAATATTACATGCAACCAAACTGACCACCACATGTTGTTAATCCACCATGAAATCTTAAAAGCCACGAATTATCAAAAGAGAATGTGTTCAAATAGTGCTTCTCTACTTGACAAAACCAATTACATGCATTTACCTGTTATTACAGTGATACAATACAGAATACAGTAAAACAGAGCTAGGAGATAATATAAAGTACTCTTCACTATATATGCAGATTAGAGCTAACAGAGAAACTACTATAAAATTCCACATAAACAAGGAAAATGTTCAGTTGTGCATACTGCATATATCAGGAATAGCATAACTAGTAAACAAACTAATTGACCATCATGTGAGCATGTTCATTAGTTATGAAAAAAAGGAGAATATCATGCAATTATACAGGTTTAAAAAAAGTTATACCCTCAATAATGTCATCATGACTTTCAAGTAACGAACTTCTAAGATATACCGCTTCATTATCTGAGAATTAGGAGATTCCAAAAGAAAATCCGAGAGAAGCTAAAAAATCCATATAAATTTATCAGTCAAAAATCAATAAATTAAAAAAGATTATCAGAAAAAACAATTGAAAAGTGTTGCTAGAACAAACCTTCAAAGACTGCCTCCTTGTGACATAATTAGGAGATGTCAAGAGTTTCTCGTATAGATCAAAGAACTGGAAACATAAAGTCCTATTAGAATAGCTGAAGTATAATATGTAAGAAAAAACCACCACAATCATTCAGTTTTTCAGCACCATGCAATTGTTCAGAGATGAGGATAGGGGCACCTAAGAATATCATAAATTATTCTACAAGAGATTTGATCTTCTGGGTTTAAAATATTAGACTGATACACATTTTTCTCAAGCAGCATTTTGTGTTGCTTTGATATGTTCAAATCTGATAAAAATGCCAAGGATGAAGCAAACCTCATCATAGTGAGCTGTCAAAAATCCAGAGACCACGTTTGCATGTTTAGTAAGAAGATCCTGCAAAACATATCCATAGAGATGTATGAAGAAATGACATGTGGAACTTTACAATCATTAAGACAAATAATGGGAATTAAAAAGGGGAGGGGAGGGGATTCTGACCTTAAAGGTAGAAAATGCATCAGATGCAACATCAAAGTTAGGCAACTCTACAAATTTAAAGAACAACACAAAGCTTGCAGATTCCAATATGTATCTGAAACACCCAAAAACATATAGAAAGTTAAAACAGTATAATTATTGGCTTGCCTCCAAGATGGACTGAGTGAGAAGCACCAATCTCAAATTGTACATTAATATTGAAAATCATCTGTTAATTTTTGCATCTAAATTTGTTTAAAACCCCCTACTATTTTAACAATTGAATTTCATCATCTCCAAGCTCAGCCTCAAGAAATGATCTCAGTCTTGTCATCTCCTTATTACCATATGGGAAGTACAAATTATATGGGGGGGGTGGGGATGGCAACATATATGCACTATATTTATTGTTAATGGACAGAAAAAACTATATTTTTCTCCTTAGAAATATAAAAGAATCTTCCATTTAATTCACTTTTACTGTAGCAACTAATTCACAAGTACTAAAGCAATTCCTAAATGCACATTAAAATCATGGCAGGATCAATCTAAGCCTACAATAAACATGAAGATATCAGAGAGATAAAAAAAATAACACAAATTGGGAAGAAGACCTTATAACAACAACCCAAAATATCTTACTTTGCAAGTGAGGGAAATTTGATGCAATCCCGCAACATTATGCCACAGCTCAAGGCAATTTCTTTGTTATCATAGCTGCTTGGAAACAGATAGAGATGCTTAGAGCAACTATTTAGTTTATCATATTCAAGAAGATTGATCACGTAAAACTAAACAATTGTTTACTCATATGGACAGTGAAAATGCATTTCAGCCTGCTGTAAGGTACTTGATTATTTTCCAAGAATGAATTTATCAAATGTAAGTGAAATTACTTTCATTTGATGAAAGGGAAATAAAGAGGCAGAGTACCTAGCATGTATATCTCAATTCAAAAATGTTCCTAGGGTACTTTGGTCAAATTATATAATAAAGGGAAAACAAATTATTCAAAATTAGAGGTAAGTTCTATCTGCTGTTGCCTAAATCCCTTTATTCCCCATGATTTTTTGTTAGAAACTTTTAAAAGCATCCAGACAACTCTTTTAAAAAGGAATGAATAACCAATTGCAAGCATATAAAAGTAATTATAGAATAAACACACACACACACATATTTCCAAACAATAGCAAAAGAAATTATTTTAATCCATGATTTCATGAGTAAGGTCATTGAGGTTCACTTAGGGTATGTCATGCATTAATGCTTTAACAAAAGAAATACATTTTATTAAAGTATCAATGTTAAAATGACATTAACTGCAGCATTCTGCTAATTAATACTCCTAAAATTATTAAAACTATAGACAGTAATAGTCAGCAACAGGAAAAAAGGTCATCAATTTTTTAACAAAATCTTTCAACATAGAAGCAAAGCAACTCATTATTCTATAAAATATCAACTCTACATATACACATACTAGACATAAAATATACAGACATAGACCTTTCTCAGAATGAACTGCCCATAAAAAATCTCAATTGACTCTCAGCATTTATTTTCAACTATTCGACAATTGGAGCAACAATTTTATTGCATAAGCAGCATGCCAGAGTAGCTTCATCAATTGATATCAGTTTCACCATCAACATAAATAATTTGCAAATGTAATCCTTCCTCAACTTTTTTTCAGACCATATCAGTTAGAAGGATACAAAACACAATGAAATAAAGAAAAATTAAAGTAAGTCAAGTTTTCAATTTGGCACAGAACATCAGTTTCAGTCTTCCAGCTTGAATACAACTACAGAAGGTAAAGCTCCGCAATTGAAAGAGGCATGAATGAGAGGAACAAAAAGCAGTTCAAAGCTGGTGGGCAAAAAGGTAATGCAGTAAAAAGCTTACCATACAACAAGGAAGTCTAGTAACTCAATATGTTGTTCAATGTATTCTACGCAGCAATAATTGGAGTCAACCTTATGTTTCAATAATATGGACCAACAGTGAACTAAATCCTTTCTTGCCTGTATCAAAATTCACACACCAATGATGAGCGACCAGTTAAGCCAACTGCACATGGGTATTTCTTGTTAACAATCAGAATCTTACTTCCCATCCAAGTATAGGCAGCTTGTGAATTAGAAGAGTAAGAACATCCTCCTTGCAGATTTCCTCTACTAGCTGTGAAACCTGATCCAAATTTGGTTCTGATTCTCCATCTCCAGAAAGCATGGTTCTCATTGTTACAAAATTCTTTTCAACTTCCTCCAAAGCCTACAACAAAGCATAAAAAGCATCAATAGCCAACAACCACTAAAGAGTGACTGCAAGTAAAGGCTCAATATCAGTATAGCACATTCTCTCTTTCTTCATCTTCTTTCCAGAATAAATATCTACAACAAATTGGTAACAGTTAGAAGCATGCCATTAAAGAAACAGTGACTGGGCGACTTCCCTAGCATATACATAATCATCTTAGATGATTAACCTGATATAGCAGACTATAATCCCAGATTGTAATAAGAAACCCAGTTTTTATTTTTACGATTAATCTTCTTGTTAGTTTTGTCAAAGCTATCTAACTTAAAAGAGCACTGAAACTGGAAATTCATATCCCTGCAACTGTCATATGTACCATTATCAGAGATGACCCAACAAAATGCAGTACCTGATACTTTAAGTTGTCAGCTTAATTCTCTATAGCTTCTTATACTCTCTAAATAATTTTCAAAACATTTTAGTTTCATAAAATTGACAGTTTTTTTTTAACAGACACCATTACCAATTAGGATACAGAAAGGAGGACCTTATATACAGAGAGAATTATGAATCAACAACACAGAAGGAGAAAACCAGCCAATGTCCATTAGGAAGCTTTCATGAGTTAAAATCAAAACACCCTCTTCAACTTGGGAAACATGTAAGGTACTTGAAAAAGGTGATCACTTGCAAGTTGAAATCTCTTCTGTAAAGTACAATCCCATCATAATTGTTTCTCGAACAAAACCACTCATATGACAGCAAGTTACGTATGCAAATGATTAGTTTTCGGGTAAAACATGGTATTTTATAAACACCCTACACAATGGGCATAAAAAATAATCTATCTAAAGGAACAATTCACACGACCCGTTTTGAGAATTTGAAGGCATACGGATTCCCATAATCAAGCACGGGAATTTAACTGAGAAAACGAAAACCCAGATAGAGCAACAAGAATATGGATCAAAAGGGTGCTAATTACGCGAGTGAGTCTCATGTGGGGGAAGAGGGGTAAGTAGGTGAAGAAGAAACTTGCCTTTTCGAGGGCTTTAACTTCAGCAACGGTTTTGGTATCGAGGGCCATGAGACTCTCCTTGATGGACTTGGCCACCTCCTGCGGCGTTTTAGGCCTCAAAGCCTTGAAAAACGAGAACGACATGTCGTTGCTGTTGTTGTTGATGATCGCTTCTGTCTCTCTCTCTCTCTCTTTGTTGATGTTGGGATGGAAAAGGAAATGCTGTTGCTGATGTAGTGTGCCTTCTTCTTCTTCTTCTTCTTCTTCCTCCTCCTCCTCCTCTTTTGAATTTTCTCTTTTCGATTTCAATTACTCACATCATGATTCTGATTTACGAGTCATCGTCGTCACCAACATTAATGAACCCCCCGACCCGATCATCACACACACAGAATCGTAGTGCCAGGACTATTTTCCTTTTCTTATTTTCCGCATATAAATCTTACAAATGCAAATAAGTGATTTCTAAATAATTACTCGATTTTTTTAAAAAAAATTAAATAATGGTGTTTTGTTTTTTCTACTTTTTATTTGGTACTGGTTAGTCGTTAAAAGCATTACAATTTATTTTATCATCAAATTTGCTATTGGCTTATTTGTTTATTATTATCCACGTTTCGCTCCAAAATCAGCTTTGGCGCTCTAATTATGAGGAATTGGGATGCGATGCAATTGCAAGTGTTGAGTAGGGAAGGGATTGTGGAAGAATCAGAAGATAGTTGTGGGAGAAGTCAATTCAAATGGAATGTTGTGGAAGGGGAAAAAAGTGAAGACGTTAGATAAGAATGATAGAAAGCAAACGGGCATGTGACTAAATAATTTTAATATATTCAACCAAATTATTTGATAATTTTATTTTAATCAATCCTTTTAAATTAATAATAGTACAATTCATGAGAAGGTCAATGCATATAATCAAGACACTGCTCATTAAATAAAATAGAGCTACTTTTTCCATTGTTATTACATTGAATATCTACTACCAAAAGCTAATTCGGTAGTAGTGATAAACAAGTTTAAATATACCAAATAAAAAAGCTACACAACAGACATACTAGGAAAAATGCTACTATTTCAATTTAAAATTGTCTTTATGTTTTAGAGCATTAAAAATTATTTATAAGAAGCAGAAAAAGAAATTTACGAGAACACCCATCCAATAACTAAGCCAAAATGTACCACAAATTGAAGAAAATTAACAGAGTAATAATAATAAAGATTTTTTTTTTGTTTTTATTTTATCTGTTAAAAAATACTATACAAATTAAACATAATTATTTTATTAAATTATTTAGTAAAATTTCCTAATTTATTCTCTGTCAATAGTTCTTTTTTAATATTTAAATTACTTAATTAATATGAATATTTTATTTACTGTGTTTATAATTTTTATATGATTAAAATAATAATAGTCAATATTATTTCAAATTTTACATGAACGTGTAAATAAAATAAAATATTTTATTTTTATTACACTTTTAATTTTTATACTTTAATTTATGTGTGATTTTAGTCTCTTTAACACTAATATTAATTGTTTAATTAATAAAATTAAGGTAAAAACACTTTTTCTCTCTAAATTATTGTGTCACTCTCTTAAATTAAATTAAGCATATTACAACATATTTTATTCTGATTTTTTTCATATATTTTCATAATTAATTTTAATAATACGAAATATTATACTAAAAACAAAATTACCCTTTTATCATACTTAAACTTCAAATAGGATATATTTTCTAAAATTTAACATTTAATTAAGGTATGTTTCAGAAAAAAGAGAGTGGATGATATATATTTTAATTTTAAATTTAAAAAATTATATATAATTTATTATGAAAAATACTAAATTAATATATTAATTTTATGTTAATATATTGACTTTTATATGTTATTTAAAAAATTTAAATATATTTGTTTAAAATAAAAAATATTTCCCGAACAACTCTCCTAAGTCCTAAGGAATATTTTGCATAGTAAAAGTTTTGCAGTTAAGTGGGTAAAGAAAAAAAAAGTTTGTATACATTTCTTGTTCTACAGCATAGAAATTCATAAATAAAATATGGCAAATATATATCAAACATTGAAAATAAATTAAGGTATGATGATTTCGAAAGTTTAATAAGCTAAATTTCCTGTTTACGAGACTACAAATTATTAGAATACTTCTTTAAATGTATTATCTTCAATTGATTTGTCGTTCTTAATTAATTTGCTTGTTTTCAGCAATCTTAAAATAGAGAACTTGATCAAAGAGTGATTGATACCCTAATCCAATTACAGCACACGGACAATTCAGTCGTGTATCTCCAATAAACCAAGGTAACATTTTTTATGTTTAATTTAGATTTGTAAATTATCATAAAAAGAAAAGTATAATTCACGCGCCTTTCTAAAATAAGGTTCGTTAAAATTTTATCTATCAAACAGATTATTTTTATCTATAATACAAAGTTAGTTTTTTGGTTGTTACATTACTTATTCAGTGCATATAGAGATGAATAAATTCACATTTACGTTTATTTTATGTTAGTAATTATAAATAATTAAAAATTTTAAATATGTTTTAGCAACAAATAACAGTGAGGCAAGGAGAAAGAAAGACGGTAAGTATAAGAAACCGTACCGTACGCAACTAGATCTGCGGCTGCAACCTGAAAGCCCTTTTGTGGCAATAGTCGAAACTTGAAGCAAAGCGATTGTGGATGCGATGCGAGGCCACGATTGGATCAACAACTCGCTTCCCGACGAGTTAATCGTCGAAATCTTTCGCCGCCTCGATTCCAAATGGAGCCGCGACGCCTGCTCCCTCGTCTGCACTCGCTGGCTCCGCCTCGAACGACTCACTCGAGCCGCCATCCGAATCGGCGCCACCGGCTCCCCCGACCTCTTCGTCCACCTTCTATCCACTCGCTTCTCCAACGTCACCACCGTCCACATCGACGAACGCCTCTCCGTTTCCCTCCCCGTTCACCTCGTTAGTCCTTTTCCTTAACTCCGTCCCTTTCTCCGTTAACCTCTTTTTTTTCCCTCTTATTGCTTTCGTTTTCGTTTTCCCTTCGATTCGAGCAGGGGAGAAGACGCGCCAGCGACAATGCCTCCGTTTCGTCGCTGAAACTGCATTACGTGACGGATAAAAACGGTTCTGGCTCTGAGGAGAGCGATTTCGATTCGCTCTGTTTGTCGGATGCTGGCTTGGCTTCTCTCGCCCAAGGCTTTCCCAAGCTGGAGAAGCTTAGGTTAATTTGGTGTTCTAATGTCACTAGCGATGGATTATCGTCTTTGGCGAGGAATTGCACTGCTTTGAAAGCCTTGGATTTGCAGGTATTTTTCAGCTATTTTCATTATGAAGCTGCTGATGTTGTACTTGTTTTGCTTCTTTACAATAGTTCGTTTTCTTGGAACGTTTAAGTGTATAGCCTTGTTGTGAAATCATCTTAAATAGAGTGCTTTGAAATGAAGGTTGAGTTTCTGTAATATCTTAAAGCCAAAGGGTCAATTATTAGTTGTTTTCTTTTACATTGAACGGCTAGGGGATCAGACTCCGTGTCTTCTGATGCTTTAGAATTTGGGATAACAATACCCTTTTTCCTTATCAGTGCATCCTTTGCCTTACCACTTTATCGATATTTATTATTCTACTAGTAATAGGGTATTGATTCTGCATTTTTATTGTTATAATTGATGGGTTATTCCTTTAGGGTTGTTATGTTGGAGATCAAGGTCTAGCTGCTGTTGGGCAGTGTTGCAAGCAACTTGAAGATCTGAATCTACGTTTCTGCGAAGGCTTGACTGATATGGGTTTGGTTGAATTTGCCTTGGGCGTGGGAAAATCATTAAAATCTCTTGGTGTAGCAGTTTGTGCCAAAATAACTGACATTGCAATGGAAGCTATAGGATCGCACTGCAGATTGCTTGAGACCTTGTCCTTGGACTCTGAGTTCATCCATAATCAAGGGGTGCTTGCTGTAGCTGAAGGATGTCCAAATTTGAAAGTTCTAAAGCTGCAATGTATTAATCTTACAGATGATGCTTTGAAAGCTGTAGGCGCCAGTTGTTTGTCTCTGGAGTTATTGGCTCTGTATAGTTTTCAGAAATTTACTGACAAGTGAGCTGCTTTCTCATGATTGCTTTTTCAGGATTTGCTTCATTTGACTATTGTTGAATTCACACAAATTACAATTCTCGATCTTTTTTAAATTTTAATATGATATAGTACAAGGTGCTCAGGGTTTAACACAAATTGCAGATTCTTTTTGTGTTACGACTTGATGGTCAACCATTAGAAGAGCTGTTTCAACAATCTTTTTTCCTGATTATTTTTCATAAATTATGGTTTTTGATGGAGCTCAATGGTGTCCTTTGATCCATCTAGCAAAGGGTGTCTAGTGGGGGGGGGGGGTGAATAAACTTCACCCTTCAGTTCTACATGTGATCTGAGCATAATTTTTTCTCATGTCTGTAATTATTAATTTTGCATTCCACTAATAGTTCTTTCAATTTTATTTGGTTCAGTTAGTAATATGTTTTCTTTTGATGATTTATTACATTCAGGGGTTTGTGTGCTATTGGAAATGGATGTAAGAAGTTAAAGAATTTGACTTTAAGTGATTGCTCTTTCCTAAGTGACAAGGGTTTGGAAGCAATTGCTACTGGCTGCAAGGAACTAACTCATCTTGAAGTCAATGGATGCCACAACATCGGAACTATGGGACTAGAGTCTGTTGGAAAATCATGCCTGTATGTTTTTCTTTAAAGCTAAATTGTGTAAATGTTATACATATATGAACAGAACTCATGTACAGTAGAAAGAATCAGCATATGGAAATGGATTAAATGTTCTAGACGAAAGAAACATTAGTAGAAAGTCCACTTTCGGTCTATCTGTCTATATCTGATTAGTGTAATGATCGTATTTAATTAATCCAATGCTATTGAGTTTTTCCTTTCATGCAATATATTGTTTTTGCTCGTGTAACTCTGCATATCCTTATCTGCCTATGTTGTTGTACTACATTCTTAATTTCTTAAAAGTATTCCTAGTGTAAAATGCAAAAACAAAATGATAAAAAAAAATATTCACATTAGTGCATATATTTGTTACACAATGTTACCTCTCCTAAATTCAGTGGGATTAGGAGAGACTGCTCCTATTGACATTGTTGTGTCTCATGTTGGTGCTGTTGACTAGCCTGCTTTGATTATAAGAATATGAATATGGAGACTACTGCTAATAACTTTTTCTGTTAGCCTTGTAACTTGTGATGCTGCTAACAGTCTCACTTTTGAGTAAACAATATGCTCTTTGAACCTCATGCTTTAGGAAATTTTACTAAACTATTAATATTGTTTCACTAGCATACTAAGTAAATATCATAAAGAATTTGTTTTGACCTACGGGATTATGTGTATTTTAGTTATCAAGCTTGTGTGAATTTCTCAGTTTATCTTATCATTCATCTTATTATCATTTTGTGCAAATACTACTAAAACATTATAACTTGTAAAGAAATGCCTATAACTGATAGTCAGGTATTCATGCTGTGGTCTTTTATTTGAATATTAGCTCATTTTCATCAGTGATGCTAATCCTAGCTTTTTATCTTACAGACATCTCTCTGAGTTGGCACTGCTTTACTGCCAAAGAATTGGTGATGTTGGCCTTCTTCAAGTTGGACAGCGATGCAAATTCTTGCAAGCTCTTCACTTGGTAGATTGCTCAAGCATTGGAGATGAGGCCATGTGTGGCATAGCTAGTGGCTGCAGAAATTTAAAGAAACTTCATATCCGTCGCTGTTATGAGGTACCCTTCTGCATGTCTGGTTTTCTGTGTGAAAATGTCATTTGTATATGTAGCTTCATTTTTTTGGCTTCAAAACTGACTTCTTTTTTAGATAGCTCACTTTCGAAATGCATTCTGCACCTTATAACCTAGAAGAATGGTGTTATGTCATTTTAATAGTGGCACACATTACTGGGGGTGGAATATTGCTAGGTCACTTGCTAGGGCTTATAAAAAACCCTAAAATGTAGACTTTCAAACCTTTTAGCCTATGTTTTCAGTCTCAGCTACATCCTTCCCTCTTACAGCAACCTCCCAACTCCCTCTCTCACCTTCCCTGCTTCCAATGATCACGAGCTCCAGCAACCCTCATTTTCTGTTGAGCAGGTTTTTTGTTGCTGTTTTTGTTTTATCTTCCTTCATTTTGTTTTTCTTTTTCCTTCTCCACATTTCTCCTCCATTCTCTCTCTCTCTCTCTCTTTCTCTCTTTTCGTTCTTTTTTGTTTCAACTTTCTTTTTCTTCTCAAATTTCCTTCTCTGTTTTTCATCCATTGTTTATTCTATCACTGCTGCCTTGGTTTGAACAGCAGTTTTCCTTAACATGGTCTAACAAGCTTCCTCAAATTCTTCAAGGGCAGCTAATTGGATTATTCCAACAACCTTCCTCAATTAGTCCTTCTATTTTCCTTGTTTTTAATCACTTTGTTTCACTTGAGGCTTAATGGCTTTTAGTTTGCAACTTTGTATTGAACTTGTACTTTTAGACTTATGCTATTATGTAATTATGAGATCTTGTAATGAGACATGATATTATTTGATGATTTTCTAACAATTAGATTCTTGATTTTGACATATATATATATATAGTGAATGGCGGGAAGGCAAAAAACTGCCATAATAAAATAATGTAATATATAATGTAATATATATATGGCAGTTTTTTGCCTTCCCCCCCTTCACCAATCACCACTGATAACATTATTTTGGCAGGACCACTAAGAATAGCAAAACATTTCCCCATGTTTTTAATGCAGTTGCTTTTCTAAGAACTTAAACTTGAGGCTGGCCTATTTAAGTTAATTATTTTTAGTATTATTATTATTATTATTAGGTAGGCATATAGTGATCTAATTATTATTCTCCTAAATATTTATTGTTATGTTTTGAAATTATATACTTATTGATCTATTTAAAGGCTTAAATCTGCTGACTTAATATAATTTTGGGCCAATTAGCCTGTTTTAGAAGTAATTTTGTTTTACCTATTGAAAATGCATTACTAAAAATTTGGCTTTCGTAGCAAGTCTTGTTTTTGACTAAGCCAATCTAGACCTTGAACTTGAAAACAGGTCTATATCTAGGTAAATAATGGCTTTAGATTTGGAAAACAGGTCAGACTCAGGTCTTAAAAAGCCTAGACCCCATTTCCAACCCTACACATTACACAGGATTCAACATATCTGTCCTCATGATATTTGAATGTTTTAAAATAATTTTATACTAATTTTGATGATTCAAAGGTAATTTTACCTTAACACAATCCAAACAAAGCTCAGTCTTGCAAACTCTTTTGGATGAAAATATCCAAATACTGAACTCAGTTCTTCCAAAAGTAATTAATTTTGTTATAACCATTTCTTTTGAAATACATTTTTATCCATAGTAATTCGATACAGATATATGACTAACTACCTCTTCATCTCCCCTCCCCTTCCCAAATAAAAAAAATGGAAAAGAGGAATTTCATTTGTTGCTTTCATCATTTCCATTTGCAGTGCTTTTGTGTAGGTTGTTATTGGAATTTAAGCCAACAGATATCAGGTTGTTCCAAAAGTAAGGATAGACTACCTAGTACCTACGTTGTATTATAGATATTCAATGGATTTTATGCTGTTATTAAATGTCATTATCTTTTAGGATTTTCATTGTTAGACCTTCAGCAGCTAACGGAAAACTTGTTGAAACGTTTTATATGGATTATATCTTTTAGGATTTTCATAGCTTTTAAAATGTGGAAAAATATGCCTTTTTTCTGAGACCAAGCCAATTATGCAAGCTAACTATTGTGCCAGTTTTGTGCTGTCTCCTCTCTTTTGAAAAATGATACGCCTTGTAATTTTGACTTCTGGCATAATTTGCATTTATTCTTTATTTACCAGTGACTACCTACTCTGGGTCCCCTTTTTTTATTGACTATTTATATTATGATAGTTTTATAACAGGTTAATACAATTTTTTTATTATTACATTTTATTTTTTTTTGCTTTTTCTACCATGTATTAGATTGGGAACAAAGGGATCATTGCTGTTGGTGAGCATTGTAAGTCGCTAACTGATCTTAGCATTCGATTCTGTGATAGGTAAAAGCTTCTTCAAAGTTATATTTTTATTCTATTCTATCATTGCTATCATTATTATTGTTATAGAAAATTTGTATTACATCTTATCTTCTGTGGTTTCTTTTTTCATTCATGTGCAAGCTCTAGATTATGTCTGAATATCTTTTGCATTGTTCGTTGTGGATGATGTCTAGTTTAACCATTTTGTTGAATTACTAGGGTGGGGGATGCTGCACTTATTGCTATAGCTGAGGGCTGTTCCCTTCATTATCTGAATGTTAGTGGTTGCCATCAAATTGGAGATGCTGGAGTGATAGCCATTGCAAGAGGGTGCCCTCAACTCTGTTATTTGGACGTTAGTGTACTGCAGGTTAGTATTCAAAACTCTCTTTTATACCCAAATAATGGTAGTTTTTCGTTAGTTTATAAGCCCATTATTATTTGGATTGTACCCTCATATTATTTAGGAATTTCTTGCGCTGTCTTGATTCAGTTATATATATATATATATATATTTACTAAAATATTGTTAATGAAACACACATGATCAGGGACTGCATATATATTGGCATATATTAGAGACATAATGATACAAACCTTTGCTTTAGGCATATATGTTATAGCATGAATGATCTCTGAAGTAGGGAAGATTGCTTTATTTCAATTAATATCGTAAAAACAGTTTACTGAAATTCCTTGTGTATTGTTCATGTACTTTCTCAAATTTTTGTGCATATAAAAGGTTTTACTCAAGAATTTGTACTGCTCAAATTGCAAATTATGAATATCTTCTTTCCTTTTTCTTTTCATTCCATTGCTCAATACAATTGCAGAATTTGGGGGATATGGCTATGGCTGAGTTGGGAGAACGCTGTCCATTGCTTAAAGAAATAGTACTCTCACACTGCCGTCAAATAACAGACGTTGGCTTAGCCCATCTTGTAAAAGGTTGCACTATGCTTGAGTCATGCCACATGGTTTATTGCTCTGGTATAACTTCAGCTGGAGTGGCCACCGTGGTTTCTAGCTGCCCCAACATAAAAAAGGTCCTTGTTGAGAAGTGGAAGGTTAGCCAACGGACCGAACGTCGAGCCGGCTCTGTCATCTCCTACTTGTGTGTGGACCTATAGACCTCCTTTGGTATATATGCATATCCAACCTTTTCACAGTGTGATGCGTGAATGTAAATAAAGCTGCAAGCTATGGGAATTGGTGCTGTAATAGGATGGATGACTGTAAATGTTTTGACATAAGCAGAACTTAAGTTTCTTAGTGAGGTTTTTTCTTGAACATAGTGCAAGAGTCATGACTATTGTAGGACCCAATAGGCGGTAGATAATCGGTGTTGTTTACAGTAACTTTGATTTACGGAAAGATGTAGTTGAATAAATATTATGTATTTGATTGTTTATCCAGTAAAAAAAAAAAAGACTAATATTGATGTTACACAAAAAATGTCAAGTAAAATAAATATTTGCTTTGATCAAATTGCTTTAATTATGGATTAGGGATTATCTCTTTACCACACTGCTTTACCATACTGCTTTGAAGTTTAGGGGTTGTTTAGGATGGGTGGGAAGTTTTGGATGGGAGATGGGAAGGGTAAGCTTTCAGTTTTAAAAAAATATATCTTAATTTGATAATTTAGTATGAACTTATTATATAAATCGTTTATTTATTATTCTTTATAAAAAATCATTTATTTACTATCATAAATAATATATAGTTAAATTTAAAAATAAAAGCCTCTCACCACCTCCTCTCATAAGCAAGAAATTACTCTGCGGAAGCAACGCAGAGTTGGCCAAAGAGTCCCACTTATAAGAAATTAATTAGCTCGGTTCTCTGGGTATTCATCTATCACCAATCTGGATTCAAACTTTTTCTTTCGTTCCCATTTTACCAATTTCGTATTTTGTCATTGATGAAATGTTATGATTCTCTGGCTAATTAATAATTAAGGAAAACTATTGAAGTTAACTTGTTAGATAAGCATGTATAGAGCAAATTTATCAGCTGAAAAGAATATTGCCATTTTTATCTCCAAACTCCTGTTGTTTCCAATTTAATTCACCTGTGGAACTTTTTATTCTTTGAAGGAACATGTGAAATTCATTCGTTCTCAGTAATCAAATATTGTTCTTCCATAATGCAAAGGATTCGTACTCTATCTTGTTTTGTATCACTCTCAAGGTTTTACATCTCTTGTATTGCTTCATTCATTGTATTGATTTCGACCCTTGTTTCTGTAGCGACTAACGACTCGTAGAATTGATAATTTGATATCCAATTAATCGCAGTGCAGTATAGAGATGGTACTCGCGCCAGACCATGGTGAAGAGTACATTTTCTATTAGAAAATGTTAGAGCAGAATTTAAGAAACCAATAATAATAATAATAATACTAATAAATTTTATCAAAAAATATTTATTGTAATTTTATAAGTTTAACACAGTGAATGTGTTTATTTTAAATAAAATTTATCTTTTTTTAAATATTTAAAATCGATCTTAAAGGATGAGATTGTCATGTCTCAATTTCTCTCTATTCTCATTCTTAATTTTCATTCTCCCTTTTAATCTGTTGTTTGGCATTGTTGAGTACTTTGGACCAATTGTTGTTGGACATTTTGCACTTGGTACCTTTGGTGTTTAGCACTTCGGACGGGAAAAAGACACAAATCTTAATCCGTACCTTAAATGGTCTTCCTCAGAGACCAATAGAGGGAAAAAAAGAAGATTAAGGAGACTGACTTTTGAATTAAATTTCAAGCCTCTCTCTCTCTCCCTCTCTCTGAAGAGCTGGTTTTGACAGGTGAATGGAGTTTGCACAAGATTACAAAGAGGGTTGTAGGGTTTGAAACATGTGGAGTGCTTTATTATTATGATGGAAACAATTTCTTTGCAATGACTTTGGACCTGTACACTAAAATTACCCACTAGCACGGAGGAAACAATCATATGTGCAGATGACTCGAATTGGAACCTATGCTTCAGTTATGCATATGCCACATGCTATGGGTTTCATCCTATGCATCTGTTAGGCAAGTACCATTTAAATTGGGAATATATCATAATATTTATTTGTTTATTTATAACGATCATATCCCACATTTGGTTACTTGTGCTCTGTACATATGAAGCTCTCAGTCCCATTGTTAGACTCCTCAGCACAATGTGTACTTCGTTGTACTCCATATAAAACCATGCTCTGATGAAAAATATATTCTTAGACATTAAAGAAAAAAGATAAAGGAAATTACAGTTGAACAAGAGAGAAAGGTGGGAATTGCATTTGGTTACTTGGGATTCATGGACTAGGTTAGACACTTGGTCAATATATATATATATATATATATATATATATATATATAAGTAATTTAATATTTAATTCTTAAAATATAAAAATATATTAACTATATACATATATATATATATATATATATATATAATATTTAAAATATTTTAAACACTATCTTCTCTCTTGCATAAAAAATATAGATCATGAAAGAGGGGCCCTTTAAGGGCTTAATTAATGAGTGTGGCAACAGTGTGATTAGTAAGCAACTAGGTTAGCTGAATAATTATATTCTTACCTTAATCGTCCCATTGTAGTCTGTGATCTCTGCAGGATACAAATATTATTCACTTCACGTTAATATACTCATAACATATCAACGTAATAATGATTATGTAGCATCTATATTAAGATTCACTCCTTTCCTCATCTCAGTATCAATCCTTACAGACAGCTCTAAACAATTCTTAATGGCATACTAGAAGATTCTTGTCCCCTCATAGATTTACCATTTATTTTCCCAACACATTAATATATATCATGCAGATTACTTTTTTTAATCTTATACATGTTTGGGACGTTCGGAATCTGAGCAGGGACATGGCTTCTAATGCATGCCATACATTTTGAGACAGCTATCGAATAAAGAATCAAATAATAATAATAATATAAAAAGATGCAAGTCCAGTAGATCAAACAAACAGAACAAACAAAATACAAATCAGGGTTCATGCTATGATTTCAATTTAGGATTCCTAATTGATAATATGCGCATGCCTAACTATTTAATTGTTTTGTTTATAGACAAACCTAGTGGCTACTTTTTTTAGTTGTTTTCTACCTCAGAAATCAAGCACGAGATTTCATTCTAGCTCCTCCATTTTTAGCCATACTTAAATAGCTCACAAATAATCAACACTTAAAAAATGAAGAATTATAGGGTTTAAGAGTTCCAAGACATAGATAATGCTACCCTTTTAAGATGCATTCCCATGAGAAAACTTAATCACACTTAATTAGCTCTATTGCCCTTCGGAAAAAGAAAGAGGAAAAAAAACATAGACATGGTCGTTTCATTATTAACAATGATATTAAATCTTGTTCAAGGTCCAAGAGATTTGCCTTTCTGAAAGTTAGAAATTGACGGAGTTGGGAATACCTTGGAATCAGGAGACGTAGAATGTTCAATTAAAAAGAAAATAATTCATTGAGATTTTTCTTAATCAATGTTCTAAATAGATAATAAAAAGTTTTATTATAAATTATGATGAAATATATTAATCTTAAATACTTTACTTTTACATAAACAAATGCTTAAAATATATTTTCAGCTCTTCAAAATATATTATATTTTGATTTTAGTCTTTATAAAACTATTTTTATTATATTATAAAAAAATATTAATTTTAATCCTTAATCATTGCTAAACGATAAAGTGATTAACATAAAAATTATTATGTGTTAATTTTTATATTACATGTCACTTTTTCATAAAATTGTATTCATAAAAAAATTAAACTAATACTTTCTTATAATATTAAGAATAAATAAAAATTTATCATTAAAATATAATATATATTAAAATATAAAACATGTTTAGTCTTAAAAAATTACTGTTAAATTTTAAAGCACTTGTTAACAATTTTTAAAAATAATGATACAAGCTTTAAGAAGAGGACAGATGGTTTGGAGCAGAGGGAACATGATGACCTCCACGCTGACTTGTATCCATGCCAACATGCCTCAATCTCTCAGTCACTGACATTATCAATTGCTTCAAAGGCATCTTTTGGCTCTGTGCTTGAGACAGATATGAAAGCTCATTGCAACAGTGTTATACAAAGGCTATCTCGTTCTAAAACAAAAAATATTTCTTTTAATATCAAAATCTGAACACAGTTTAATTTTATATTGATCATTATTTAATTCTGTACTTTTATTTTGCTATTATCAGCATTGACTCTTTGGGGTAATTAATTCTCTTCCTTTTCTAATATTTTCAGTAAAATTAAGATTTGATTTCATATATCATAGACATTGTTAAAGGTCTTTTTTCTTTTAAATTGTACAACTGTACAATAATGAATAAATAGAACCCAAATTTAACCTACTATCAATATTAAAGATATATAATATATTTTTTCTTTCAGATTATAGAAATTAAACAGATAATAACCCTTAGGGTAGAGCAAAACGACACACCCATCCCTCTGTTTTTTTCCCAGTCTACCTAGAGTCTAGAGCAAAACGACATTGAATTTAAGGTGAATCGTTATGTGCAAACCAACGGGCCAATTCGAATGCTTCGAATGACACCATGTTTATGTCAGCATTTCGTCAGATTCCACTAGTGTTAGTAGTTGTAGTTGGGTATCACGAGCTGGTTAAACAGTAAATGATTAGTTTAAGGTTTAGGGCTTTATTCGGTTAATTATTATTTATTAAAGATTATTGAGAGTTAGTACTGTCGAAGACTTTTTCTAGGGAAGCAAAATAGCTGTTTTGTAAGAGAATTATCTCCAATTTTGTGAGATTATGTGATGGTTGGAGAGGGTGATTATGAATAACTTTGATAAATATTATATTAAAAAAAAGGTATTTGTTAATTTTAACCTTTAAAGTTGAGTTTAAGTATCTATAAATAAAAAATTATAAAAAAATATACAGTTATTATATTAAAATTATAAAAATATAATAAATATTTTATTTTTAATAAAATTTTATTATTACTAACTACTTATTTTCAATCTTAAAAGTTAAAGTTAACAAAATTTTTAAAAAAATATTGCTATAAATGTAAAAGAAATTCCAATATATGGAAGTATTATTTTTAATACGATGTTTATTATACTTTTTATTATTAGGTGATTCATGTGAAATTCACAAGAATTTCATTTAATAATAAAAGAAACATATGCCAAAAATATTACTCGTATTTTATAATATAATTAGTTAAGTCTTTTATTTTTAAAGTTAACTTAGTAAATTATTTATTATACTACATAACATTGTTCATGTAAAGAAAAAACTCTATTCAAATGAAAATAAAGAAATGTGTAGTCTAACAATTTATCATGTCTTATTGCTTAAAAGTGTTGGATGATCAATTTGATATATTTCTTAATAATATAACGTTGCAAATATATCATTGTAAAAATTGTCATATGTTAATAAATAAAAATATCA